ATCTCATGCTTCAAATGGGTAAACCTTATGATATGCAAGTGATATATCAATAAACCCAACTGACAGTTACTTTTAATCCCCTCAATTTTTTTCTAGTTCTTCTTAAGGGAAGACTAAGTAGTGAATTTAGAAGTTTCTATATAATTCAGACTATTTATTTGGCAGTTGATTCTCATTGTCACAGGCAAATATATGTGCACAGGAATGAAACAGGGTGAAAAGGTTTTGTGTTCCAAGGGCTTTAGCTTTATGTTATTTGCACACGCGCATTAGCTGGTGCTCATGTGTGTGTATGTGTGAAAGACACAGAGAGACAGAGAGAAAGAGATAGAGACAGAGACAGAGACAGAGAGAGAGAGACAGAGACAGAGACAGAGTGAGAGAGGCTGAGTGTGAGGGTGTGCATGTACACATGGCATTTCAATTGTCTGGCACTGTGTCTGCATCCTTAATGCTGTGGGACAGCAGAACTGGTGTCTTAATTACCTCATGACCACTGTAGTGTTTGGTCAGAGAGAAAACATTAAAAAATGTTGCAAGTTTTGTTTGAACAGACAAAACTGAAAAGAATACCTCTCATATGTTATGCCCAGTGTTGGGCAGTATAGTTCTTTTTCAGTTAAGCTAGCTGGCCATGGGCTCTCAGAATTTGCCTGTCTTTGTCACCCAGTGCTGGGGTCACATGTACACACAGCCATGCCCTGCTTTAACATGAGGGAGTCTAACTCAGGTCCTTGTACTTGCACAACGTCAAGCACTAAATGCCGGACGCCTCCACTTTTTCAGTGCTCCTTGAAACAAGGTACCCTTGCTTTAGTTCAGATTACCATTTTTTTCTTTTGTATGTTAGAGAAAAGGTCAAAAGTTCTCACTATTATCTCGGGCTGCCCCTGGAGCTCACTATGTAGACCAGGTTAGCCTCGAATTCATAGAGATCATCCTGCCTCTACCTCCCAAGTGCTAGGACTAAAGGTATGCACCACTATGCCTGGCCAAATTACCTTCTTTACATGAGTAATTGGCAAACATTTCTACTCTACAGGTAAGGGAGGCACCACACAATGAAAATAGAATCCACATAGGCCTCGTTTCCTGTTAGGTTTGTCACTATCAAATAAAGGGCACGTTGACAATAAAGAATAAATTCAGAAATACAACCCACATAGGTCTGAAGTGGGGTAGCTTTTAACTTCTTATATGGTGCTGGCAGGCAGGGGGCCGAGAGTATACGAGCCCGCCAATGAGACATCACCTCCACAAGCAGCAGAGGGCTCTCTAACATCACACAGCAGCTTAGGAGTGGCCACGTGACCCAGGTTTTCACCAGTGATTGCAGATGTCATCCCATTGTCAATGTTGATGTGTTTGCTGAAGGATATTTTTAAGAGAAACATGTAGAGGCCAGATAAATTCCTCTGATAGGAAGTTTCATTGAAATTTTAGCTATTAACCCAGCGGTACATGCTAATTAATCATGTTGCTTTAAGTCTTTTTTTTTATAGTCCACTGAATTTGGAGTTACTATGTGTTACCATCACATAATTAATATTCAAGAATACATATCAGCTATTATAATTTTCTGGATGAAATGATCAAAAAGAAGTTTACATAGATGTTATCAACCTCTGCTTCTCACTTAGTAAATGAACACAGACACGAACTGGATCTTTTCCTGAGCATGCCGGTGCCAGTACATTTAAAAATGAATCACTAGCCTTCATAGCTTTGTTTTCTACATTATCCTTTGTGGAGATAAAGTGAGTTAGTGGGTATGGAAAGTGAACGTAGCAAATCAAAGCACTGCTCCCACTGAGTTTTGTCCAGATCTAAGATAAAGCCTGTGCATCCTGGTCTGCTACAGTAGGCCTATCTGCAGAAATATCTCTGTAGAGATCCTCACTTACAAAGTCACATGGTGCAGGGAAAGCAACACCAACAGAATGCGAATCACACACGGAGTTGAGCGATCAGCTGACCTGGGAGCTCATAAAATCCAGTCACCACAGGTAAAAGTCTTACTTTCTTTTCAGTTCTTAACACACTTCTTCACTTTCATTTCTCCCTTTATATTATTTATTTCAGGGACTCTTTTCAGATAGAGAAAGGCTATAAAGCCTACTGTCTTATGACAAAATGTAAATATTTTAGAATTTTCACACATAACTAGGGGAGAGGTCGCAGAGGAGTGGAGTTCAGTTATCAGCTCATAATCACCTGTAACTCCAGCTCCAGGGGATATGATGACCTTTTCTGACCTCTAAAGGCTCATGCGCACCTCCTCACTGACATGATTAAAATACAAATAAAATCTCTAAAAAGAAAGAATACAAGACTGATTATTTTATACTAGCTAATAAGACTCCATTTTTAATTTAAGTCATTTGAAATGAACTCTTAGAAACATTCACTTTACAAAGGAACAGAACTTCAACACATAGCCTCTTCAAAGCTTGCACTGAAGCCCATGAGTTTCCAAGAGTCAGGCCTATGTGGAAAGTTCACAGACAACACAAGACTGGAAAGAGGACCAAGGCATTTTAAATCATTCTGACTTTTTATCTGTATGTGCATTCTCATCTCATGGGAGATTAGCTGTAACAAAATATCTTCTACACCTTTGCACAGTATGTGAAGAAAGGCTAAAAAGTCATCTGTGAAAATTATAAGTTAGGTAGACATTACAGTACATGTGTACCCTCTAATAACATCAGACACGTAGATGAGGTCGAATAAAACACAGGGTAAAGCATATCCATCTGGGTGCATCTGTTATTACCCTAATCATGCTGTGTATTACAGAATTTACCACAAGGCATTGCAATTGTCTGGTGATGTTTCTGCATCCTTACTGCTGTGGGACAGCAGAACTGGTGTCTTAATTACCTCATGATAAGTGGCAGGGCAGTAGAGTTTGATCAGAGAGAAAACATTAAACAATGTTGTAAGTTTTGTTTGAACAGGCAAAACGGAAAAGAATACCTCTCATAAGGCCATGATATTAAATATGCTATGTGGCAATGTTGGGCACTATAGTGTCAGATTACTACATGGACCAGCTGTCAATAGCTTTCGACAAGCTATAATCATTAACTAGAATTTGCACCAGTATTTTCAATGCAAATATTCAGCATGAATTTCTATACTTGTTATTTAAAGCTAAACTTTAAGCTATTTATCTCGTCAGTTTCTAGCACTTTGGTACTCTGAAACACGGCAGGATTCTACAGGATGGGATCCTCAGCAGTGGTTATCATTTCCATAACAAACATGGAGTATAACAGCCAAGCATGTTGGGCTGAAGAAACACTGCAGGAGCACAAAGGTAAGCCTAAATGCTTACGGCCACAAGGGACCTTTGTGCAGAAAGCTCCATCATACACCTGGTCATTTCCTTCAGGAAGTTTATAATCAAAAGCGGTCATAAACTGGAAGTGAAGATTGCCAGGGAATCAATCAGACCAAGCAAGCCCCTGAACTTGGACTTGGACTGCACAGGGGGCTGGTGTGCAGCGACTGGAGGACAAAAGTCATGACTCAGCATTCTTGAATGCAAATTTAGGTAGCCCCAGGTTCACTACAGTGATCAACAATGTAAAATGGTTTTCAGGAAAGCACATTGCTCTTCTTGGTCTTCATAGCAGGTATTCTATCGGCAAGCAGTTACAACAGGGTTGTCTAAAACACAACCTGTGTAGAACTCTTCATGACTGACATCATCAAAAGGACAGAAGTTCCCCACTGTGAAATTGGACATCATTAAACCTCCAAAAAGTGTACACTAGTTTTGTCCTCTTCGAAATTTCAAGCATGTGGCCGTTGGCACTAAATTACTCTAGAAGCATAGACTCCTGTATACAGCACTTCCTTCTATATTAAAGTATTACTTCTCTGGAAAGGAACTCTGAACACCACATCAAGGTCCTATTGCAGTGGGCATATCAGGACAGCAAAAGAAAACGACCATATTAGTTTTCACCACAGTCAGTCTGTAGGAACTTTCTTACCATAAAAAAACAACAACAAAAAAAATTCATTGTATTTCTGGTGTTAAAGCACAAACAAAATATCAATAGCATGATTTTTTTTTAAAGAAAAATTCAATTGTCTAGGTTTTCTTTTCAATAAATTGTCCTTATTTGATTTTTGAAAATACCATTTTTACATAGAAAATTGTAAATGAAACTTCATAGTCGAATGTCGCTGTACATAAAGTAATTGCAATTAAAACGTGACCATCTGATTAGCAAAATAAGTTTTTAAACCATGAACTGTGTGACCTTGAGCAACTCAGACTTTCCGTGGGGACAGGGCTCAGACATCATTGTGGTAACTTCCACTAACACTCCAGGACACAGCACTCCTATCTACTTCACCAGCAGTGTGCTACCTAACAGGCAGGGCTGTTTACAGTTATGGCTCTTTACTTCCACCGGACTCAGAGACCCCTAATCACCGTCCCCAACAGCAGGGTCTGAACCCTGTACTCAATCACTCTTACACAGCAGTTTTTTTTGTTTTTGTTTTTGTTTTTTTGTTTTGTTTTGTTTTGTTTTCAGCGATATTTGGGTAAAATAAATCTACCTAGAATTATTCGAGGAGAGGCACTGCCCTCAACCTTTATTCCCATGATGATAATTTTCTTGAAGAGAGAAAGCCATTGCCTAGAGAACAGATAATGAAATACAGCTATTGAGCCCACTGAAGTGATCTCATAGCCTGGAGAGCCCAGAAGCCCATTCCATTCTAAAGCAAACCTGCTTTGCTTCGAGTTGCAGAGGTATTATCTTAAATACATTTCCATTAAAAGATGGATATAAGTGAACTCAATAATCATAATTAACTGGACAAAAGTGTGAGTGAAAGAGCAGAGCGTTAAATTTAAATGTTTCTGTCTGGTCTAAGGAAAAAGCACCGTGATGTTACTAATGATGCCGAGCACTGGCCGAGAACTGTGGTACACTGCTCAGAAAATACCAAACAGCATAAGCAGCGAACACTACCTTCGCAGCGGCATGATTTCACAAGCCATCCTGGTGTGCGAATCTGCACAGGATCCCCCAATGTCTTCCAGCCAAGCCCGGTGTGCAGGACCCGCGGAGCCCACAACCTGCTGCAGCTGACGCTGCCTCTCCACCTCCAGCTGCAGGCAAGGATATTTATCGGCTGCCTCCACATTTACACTGCAGTCCACTTTGACCTTTTGTTCCAGCGAAGCAGCTGAAACCCGGAGCCAATCAGAGGAGGAGCAGCGGAGTGTGAAAGGCTGCTCCTCCTCCTGCTGCTCCTCCCGCTCCTGCTCCTCCTGCTCCTCCTCCTGTCCCCACCCCGCTTTGCTCCGCTCGCTCCTCAGTGGGCTTGGCAAGCCCCAGTAACCTGAAACTTTTCCTCTGAGCGGTTTCAGACAAGCCTGTCAGTCTGTGAAGAGCAACCAATAACTGCAGCGGAGCTCAGTCCTGCATGGTTCAATGTGCAAGAAGGGCAGCAAGGAAATGCATTGTCAAGGACAGACAACGTCCTAAACTAAGCATTTTCGTGACCCAAGGGAAGAGTTGAACTTCAACTTGTTTTTCTAAAATAAAATAAATACCCAAACACTAACCAGAGAAGGCCTAAGGGTTTTCCGGAAGGAAGGCATACCCCGACCCTTGCCCTACCCACATTTTCTTCCCCAGATGCTTGTTTACACTGGGCTGTGAGCAGTTTCTGGTGACGTCACTCAAGGGGAGGAGGACACAGAGCCCTAAGAGGGCTCAGGTTCTCAAGAGATCAAAACGTCTACTTACATGGTCCTTGAGTTTGTTGTTCGTCCATTTCATTCATATGAACTGAATGTAGCTATTTCCAAATTATTTTTCTATCCAAAATATCAACCTTACTTTGGAAAGACTTGTTCCTTATTCTATTATTCTATTTTTACAGCTAATCCAAAGCCAGTTTTTCCATAAGGTCTTCAAAACGTTTGTTAATTATTATCTTTTAGAATTCTTTAAAATTTGTATATATGTTTTTCTGCATATACATATGTGCACCACATGTGTGACTCTCGTCTGAGGAGGCCAGAAGGGGGCATGGGATCCTCTGGAACTGTAATTACAGTTGCCTGTTAGTGGCCATGTGGGTGCTGGGAACAAAACCTGGCTCTTCCACAATAGCAGCAAGTGTTCTTCACTGAAGTCATCTCTCAGCTCCTCTTATTTCTTCAGGAGCACTAGTGTGTTATTTCTAGGTGTGGTGGTTTGAATAGGTATGGCCCCCACAGACGCATGTGTTTAAATGTTTGGCACTATTAGAGGGTATCTCCAAGTTGGAGTAGTTATGGCCTTGTTGGAAGAAGTGTGTCACTGTGGAGGCAGACTTTGAGGTCTCATATGCTCAAGCTATGCCCAGTGTGAGACTCGGTTCACTTCCTGTAATGTAGAACTCTCAGCTACCTCTCCAGTACCATGTCTGCCTGTGTGCTGCTTTGCTTCCTGCCATGACAATAATGGACTGAACCTCTGAAACTATAAGCTAGCACCAATTAAATGTTTCTTTTATAAGAGTTTCTATGGTCATGATGTCTCTTCACAGTGAAAGAAACCCTAAGACAATAGGCTTCATACAACGAAAGAAAATACCAAAAACACACTATGTATAATTTATTTCACATTGTGGAAGTTTAAAGAATGGTAACCCAGCCATGATCATTACTTTTAGTAGTAGGAATAACAGAGACCCAGTTAATGACATTTGAAAACTGTGCCAGCTTAGAGAGGCTCCGATAGTCTTTTGTATATTTTTTTACAGACAGACTACTCACAAAATTAAAATCATCACTACAACCTGGTTTTGGTACTACATTTTGCAATTATTTTTGCTTTTAAATTATGTCTATTCCCAGAACCAACTTCATTATCAATACCATCATCTTTTTGAATTCTCTTAGTTATTTTTCTATTTCTGTTAAGAGATACAATGTCCAAGGCAATTTATAAAAGAAAGTATTTAATTGGGGACTTGCTTACTCTTTCAGAATTTAGTCCATGACTGTCATGGTAGGGAGCATGAGAGCAGGCATGGAACAGTAGCTAAGAGCTTACATCTTATCTGCAAGTTAGAGGGGAGGGAAAGAGAGGGAGAGAGAGGGTAGGGAAGAGAGAGAGTGAGAGAGACTGGTTCTAGTGTGGGCTTTTTAAAATATCAAAAACTACTCCCAGTAACACACCTCCTTCAACAAGGCCACACCTCCCAATCTTTCTCAAACAGTTCCACCAACTGGGAACCAAGCATTCAATTATATGAGCCTATGGGAATATTCTCATCCAAATCACCACGACTCTTTTAATCATGAAACATGACTTGTTAGGGTGTGGAAGGGCATACCATGATTGTGAGAAGTACTCTTCTAGAAAGAGTGTTTTATACTTGGTAAGAACCTTACTTTTATATTTGTCCTTGTCATTTAAGAGGATAGTCCCATATTTCTCAGTTTCAGGTAGGCACTTTAATGTTTAACTGAGACAAGGTCATTTCCTATTCTGGGCAATATTTTCTTTTCTTTTTTTTAAATCAAGAAGAAATTTATTAGTGAGAAACAGTTGTCTAAATAATATCTTATATTGGTAAGGACTATGTCTGAGGACTGCAATCTCTTGAACTGTTAAAGAAACATACTTCTCATCTTAATCCTGGTTATACTTTCCTGCTTGGTGTTGAAGACCAGGTAGGTGACCCAAACTAATCATTTTCCTTTTAAAGCCAAGGCCAGTTGAATATCTGGTCAGGGGTTACTTGGGCTTGGGAGGAATCTCTGGCTCTTCTGGTCTTTCTTTTGCTGGTTAGCTATCTAGGGGTCATCAGTCAAAGGCCTTACTTGACCATTGTTTCACTTGGCAGTGTAAAGGGAATATTTTCTCTTTGTTGATCCTACTCTTTGTAGACTGAACATCATAAGAATGCACTCAGTGGTGTCTCTGTGGCCTCCCTGAACAAGAAAAATGGTGGCTTGTCATAATCTTTTGATAGATGCCCCACTGGGATTAAGATGACCTTGGAGGGTGAAGGGGGCAAATATTAATCCCTTTGACTATATCAGTGTAGGACTCCATGTATGGGCATTGAACACTGGGGTTGGTTACACCTGTCTACTATTTTTCATTGCTGTGCAGTATTTATATAAAGCATGAGCAGGAATCAAGCATGTTTAAATAACCCTTGATTAGATATACCTTAAATCAGTATCCTATCTGTCTCATCTTTTTTTTTAATAAAAAATTGCATTTCCCTAGAAACATTAGAATGCCAACAAAACAGCTGCAATTTTCTTTCTTTCTTTCTTTCTTTCTTTCTTTCTTTCTTTCTTTCTTCTTTCTTTTTTTTTTGCAATTACCAAGTGGTATTCAGTTAACAGAACAACTATCTTCGTATAAACTGTGTCAGAGACAACTGAAGATGAAAAACAAAACAAAACAAAAAACTACTGTTCCCATATATGACTAATTTGAGCTGTGCACCAACAAGAACCTGCTTTAAATTTCCATGCCAATTTAAAACCCCCAGACTGTACCAGGCAAAGTTAGTGGCTATTGAAAATACCACCAGGACAGGGCTATCTAGAGACGCAGTCGGTAGTGTGTTAACTATACAAAAAAAGACACTGTACAGTTTAAAAACAAATCTTACTCAGCCTTACATTTCATTTTTTTTCTTTAAAAGGAGTGAGTTGTGCACAGGGAGGCTAAATGCTTTATAGACAAAACAAAACAAAACAGCACTAGGACCAATTTTTTCATTATCATCATCTTCTTCATCTTTGTTCCTCTTCATCCTCCTCATCATCTTCCTCTTCCTTCTTTTTCTTGCTCTTTTCTGCTTTGACCACCCCCTTTGTTGCTGCGTCAGGTTTTCCTTTAGCTGTGTAAGCAGCAATATCCTTTTCGTACTTTAGCTTCAGCTTGGCAGCCTTCTTTTCATAGGGCTGCTTGTCATCTGTAGCAGTTTTGTTCCACATCTCTCCCACCAATGGACAAACAAGGGTGTTCTTTGATTTTTGGGCAATACTCAGAACAGAACAAGAAGAATGCTGAAGGAGGCCTCTTCGGTGCCTTGGTGTCCTTGAACTTCATTTTGGTCTCCCCTTTAGTGGGGCGGGTTGGGGGATGTAGTTTTTCATTTCTCTTTCATAACGAGCTTTGTCAGCCTTTGCCACATCTTCAAATTTCCCCTTTTCTTTAGCAGACATGGCCTTCCACCTTTCTGAGCACTTCTTGGAGAACTCTGAGAAGTTGACAGAAGCATCCGGGTGCTTCTTCTTGTGTTCCTCCTGGCAAGTTTGCACGAAGAACGCATATGAGGACATTTTGCCTCTCGGCTTCTTAGGATCGCCTTTGCCCCACATTCAGTTGATTTTCTTCCGCGAGGCACAATGCCCATCCGGCTCTCGCTTGCTCCAGAGTTGTCTCTACAGAGCTCACCTTACTGCAATGGCTGTCCTGTTTACATATCCTAAATGACTTATTCAGACCCTTGTAACTTACATAAGCTTTCTAGCCATTTCTCCCATTTTGTTAAAAAAAAATCTAGTCGTTCTAATCTTTACACACTATTTTTATATCCTAGTATCTTATTTTTTTAAAAATACCATGAGTCGGGCTGGAGAGATGGCTCAGAGGTTAAGAGCACTGACTGCTCTTCCAGAGGTCCTGAGTTCGATTCCCAGCAACCACATGGTGGCTCACAACCATCCGTTATGAGATCTGGTGCCCTTTTCTGGTGTGCAGTTATATAGGAAGCAGAATGTAGTATACACAATAAATAAATAAATTCTTTAAAAAATACCACGAGAAATTGTAACACCAACAAATTCACCAGAGAATTTGTGGGAATTAAGCAATGTCTTTCTTTCCTTAAAAGGCTCCAATGACAAACCAGAGTTCTGATTTTTATCAAAGCTTAGCCCAGGGCACCAGTGAATGTGTAAGGTTTAGTCACAGAGCACAGGCAGGGAGTTACTTACAGGTGAGACCCAATGCCAGCCACACTGCAAAGTCTTCAACTGATACTCATGGTGGCTCTCCCATGATTGCCTAGCTGGAGTCTCTTTCCCTTAGCCTCTTTTGTCTATATATTCAGAGTCCTCCCCAAGACCACTAAGCCATGTGCAATGAAGGCACAATTGCATGCTAGCTGGGAGGAGTGGTTGGGTACTTAGGTGAGAGTACAATGACCCTGTTCTGTGAGAGAACACTTACAATCAGCAAGTTTTGATGTTTTGGATTTTTGCAAAAAAAGCACTGCTGAACTCACAAAGATGGCAGTTGCTACGCTGGGAAGATAGTGCTATGAAAATCTCCTTAATTAAACAAAGCCGAATTCAAGCTTAATATACAGGATTATATAATGTGCTAGTTTTATGTCCACTTGACA